AGAAAGATAGGGGCAGGTGGGACTTTAGTTAGGGAGAAGGAAGGAGGAGGAACCATACTATTTACTGTCTATCTAACAGCACTTACAACACACATAAGTAACTGTGCATACAAACACATGTTCTTAAGTGGAATTTTCCTGACAGGATGGGCACTGCTCCCATAAGAACCATAGACTAACAAAAACCTCAGCAGTAGGCATGAGAAGACCACTTTTGAGTTGTTGGTTATCTAAGAGATTTGCAAAACATTATAGGCTATTACTGTTTCCCCAAAGACAGAAGGTAAGTCCCTATAACTGAAGAAACCATGCACTTTGGATAGATGACCTAGAGAACCTGAGCTGGATCTGACCCGAAAGCATCCTCCTTCGGACTAGCTTTCATTGTACCAGATGGCACTATGTCAGCTTTCAAAGGAGGGAAGGAACCAATAGTCCTTCCTAGGTATGAAGCCTATGAACCACAACAATGACTAGTGGGGCATGATAACCGATAACCGCTAATGGTGCAGTAGTGGTATGTATACCTTGAAGGTAACCATCTGGTCTGTAGCCGAACCTAAGACCAACAAGAGGGAAATCATGCCTGGTACCGGAAGCCTAGCCAACTATATGGACCTAGAAATGTCAAGAATCATGGAGGAGAAGCTACAAGCACTTTACTAAACCAGAGTAATCCATAACTACATTCTAAATATTTATCCTCATACCTCCAGATCAACGGAGTTCTCACCCCTCAGGGAAACTTCTTTTTGCAGCAGAAGAAGAGTATTACAGAAAGCCACAACTGAGCAAACTGCAGAGTTTAGGGCCCGGTCACAACTGGCAGATCTATAACACAATTCCTGCGTGTCAGACTCGGGATTATTGGGAGAGAAGGGGTGAAAGATTTTAGGAGTCAGAGAAACAAAGAGTTGGCTGGGAGAGTGTGTCTCCTAGAAAAATCGGAGAGGCTACACCCATAAAGTCTCAGCAACATGTTTGCTTAAACAAGGCCTGAACAAGGAAGATCATTAATAGGCATGCTAATATGGAAGAGGGAAAGTTCAACCATAGACAAAGAACCAAAAGCAACTAAGGAATGCTGAAAGCAAGAGAAATAGTCTTCTCGTTAATGGTCAGTCTTGAAACAATATATACACAAGTTATAGCATATGCACTGAGCACATTCCTATATTATAAGAATATGATAGATGATAAATGGATGGTTCTAAATAATACAAACAGGATGTATTATATATGTGTGTATATATACGTGTGTGTGTGTGTATGTGTGTGTGTGCCATGAATCTGAAAGACAGCAAAGGGAATACAAGGGAAGGGTTGGGGGACAAAAAGGGAAGGGGGAAATATATTTATATTATCTTAAAAAATCATAAAAAAATAACAGAGTAGTTGGTGTTCTAAGTTCATTATCCTAAGAGACAAAAGCATCACTGGATGGTTTCTAGCATGATTTCACTCACGTTTTTTACTTATTAAAGAGTAAATAGTATGTTTGTGGGTAAACATTTTAGAATTATGTAAATCCTGCTTCTTATCAAAGTTTCGCCTACTATAGACTCCAATGATGAGTTTGCTCAAATCTAATATATTTTACCTTTATTCGTTGGTAAGTAAGGTAGAGTTTTCTTCCCAGCTCTCTTTATTTATTCTTGTGCTTATATTTATATCAGTATGTACTCATGGATTTCAATTTATGCAATGAGCTACATTTATTATTTATTTTGGCATTGAAAATACTCAAGATTTGGCCAGAGGGATTCTCTGAAGCATAAACTCATGGGAGTTGAACAGTTTTTTCATTCTTTCAACACTTCTTTGTTTTTGGCACAGCACACCATTACTCTAAGGAGAACCCTTATTCCTCTTAATGGACAGTCACATTAGAAACAGATCTTGGCACTACATTCTTTGCTACTGGACTTTCAGATGTGAAACATATCTAGGTATACACACAACACAGAGACACACACCTACAACCCACTGCTGCTTCAGTGACTCCAAGGATGGCATTTCTAATTCCGGTCTTAAGGTCGCCAAAGAACAAGGTTTTAACGCACATGCAACCATTCCGACATAACTCCATACTAATCTAATGGAAGCTGAATAGGTGCACAGGAGGGCAAGCAAAAAATCCTCACTTGCATCCCTCAAGTCCTGGACTTCTTAAAACTTTTTCCACCTGTGACCTTATTTTGCCTGAGAAGTTTTTATATGATCCTAGGTATACAAATATATAAATCAAATATTTACTGATCTATAAATCATAAATTATTTATTTTCAAACAATTATTGACTATACATATAATCTTGTTCGTTTTATTTGTCAGGAAAGGGCTTTTCTGTGTGGCCCTGGTCATCCTGGAACTCGCTCTATAGACCAGGTTAATCTCAAACTCGGAGATCCACCTGCCTCTGCCTCCCAAGTGCTGGGATTAAAGTCAGTGTATACATATAATCTTACCACTTATTAAACACAAAAACAAATTTTCCTACTAATGAGACAAATGTGCTTATTTATTTTTATGTAAAGAATTAAATAATGGCTGTATATCTGATACTGAAGGACACAAAGCATCTTAAATGCTTTCCAGCATGGACTAATACTTTGACGTTACGATGTTCTTCCATGCCAGGAACACAACTTCATATGAAGACATAGTAGAAAATAGCATAAGAATATTTAGAATCATTTCAAAATTTGTTGAAAATTCTCTCCTATTCCAAAGCCACAATTCATTTAATGCTGTTTTTGTGTTTAAATAAAATTTGAGACAGTAGCTCAAACAGCAAATTTTAAAATCAAACATTCTAACACAGTACAAACCAGAAATAGAGTGATTTGCTACATGCTGAGGAATGGTAAGAACATAGACGAGGTCTTTATTTCTGTAACTGAGCCCTGGTTTCTTTGAGAGCACTGCAGTTCCCACCAGCCTGGAACCTGAGCCATGGGGTTTTGGGCAGCGCTGACTGGTGTTGAGCAGCAGAACGGCATGTACGGGGCGATGTGTCCATGCCGTGTGCCGTGGTGCCGTGCAGCACACGGGTGAGAGCTGCCAGAGACGCTGACATTCATTGCACATGTGACTTTGAATTAAATTTGATTACTGTGTGTTCAGAAACCTTTGACGGTTGCCGAGATTTTGTAGCCCTCACACTGGTCTGTGACCCCATATGGGGTGTGACCAAGACCTAGCTTAGGAAGCCGTACTCATGTCTGACAAAGTGCTGTCTAGAAACTGCCACAAACAGAAAATGTAATAACAATGGTTCTGTCTCAAAGAAAAAAATGTATCATTTAATAAAGTAAGAACCATTGTGTAGAAATGAAAAAAAATCCTGAAACACTGCTCTAAGAGTCATTGTTGACTAATTCTAAAAGAAAAAGTCAAGATACAAAATATTATAAAATTCTATACATGTAAAATATGTAGAATGGCCAAATCCACCCAGAAAAAGTGGTCACCCAGCTGAAAGAAAGAAGACATAGCAAATGACAGCCAAGACATCGGTTGAAGCTTTACTGAATCAGAGTGGCAAACTTCAGGGAAGGGTTTTCTTGTTATTATAAGGTATTTTTGTTTGTTTGTTTGGTTGGTTGTTGATTTGTGTAATTGGGGGTGAGGCTTAAAGCGCCCTATGTCAACAAAGCTGGCCTTGACCTTATAGCAGCCCTCTTCCTTGCCTCTCAAGGGCTGGCTTACAGGTTTGTGACACCATGCTCAGCCAAGCTTTTAAACATACTAAAACCACTGAACAGTGTACTTCAAAAGGATAGATTTTACAGTATATGAACTATATCTCAAAAAAGGGAAAGGGTTGAATGCAAAATTCCTGATGGTACATCAAGCATTAACTTTTGGAGATTTTCTGCATGCCAAATACAGCAGTCTCAACACACAGCACACCGCCGCATAGGCAGGAAGGAAGCCTATCAGAAAGGCTACAAACACACAGGCGCACAGGGCTTCTCTGCTACAATTCTGTAACTTGAGGCCTTGGACTATTTGATTCAGCAAATGTGAAGGGTATGTTTGGGGCCTCCAGTTCATCCACAGTTTCTGAGCTTGTTGCCATTTCCCACATACACACTTGTGGAAGCCAAGTGGCCTTGTATTTTTTTGTACAATTGTTAATTGCGTAAAACATTTTTACAATAAAAAGTTAATTTTTATTGTTATCATTAATTGAACATCATACATAATAAGCTTTTCTTCAAAAAGGGCTGAAATGAAAAGATTTAAAATTGTGTTATTCAAAAGTCATAAAACAATTATAAATTTAAATAAACTTTCAAAGAAGCCTTTTCTGTAACTCTGTAGTACTTTGTGATATTATTGAAGCTTAAAACTATAGTCAGACTATACATTCTCTGATCTTTTGGGGGAAGGGGTTGGTTTTTTGTTTGTTTTGGGGTTTTTTTTGTTTTTTGTTTGTTTGTTTGTTTGTTGAGACAGGATTTCTCTGTAGCTTTGGAGCCTGTCCTGGAACAAACTCTTGCAGACCAGGCTGGTCTTGAACTCAGAGATCCTCCTGCCTCTGCCTCCCAAGTGCTGGAATTAAAGATGTATGCCACCATTGCCCAGTGAGGGGCTGGTTTTTTGAGACAGCATTTCTCTGTGTAGTCTTGGCTGTCCTGTAACTCACTCTGTAGACCAGGCCAAACTAAACTCACAGAGATCCACCTATCCCTACCTCCCGAGTTCTGAGATTAAAGGTGTGCACCACCAGCCTGGCTCTTATATACAAACTCAGATTTATTATTTTAAATTATTTTAAAAGAAAGAGTATAAAGAAAGAAATAGAACATAACAACTTGTAACCCCTAATGATAGATTTTTTTCCAAGAAAACTAGGAGTATAATTATTATTCAGTAGAACAAAATAAAGTACAAATTAGAGGCCTCATTAGAGATGACTTAATTGGCCATTTTTAGATCTTCAAGTTCAATGACGTCACCCTGGTATAGGAAGGGACAGAACAAAGGGTGAGGGTGACAGCTCAGCCGGTAACGCACTTGCTGTGCCAGAGAGAGAGCCCAGAAGGACAGACACTGCCTGTTCTCTCTAATCTGAAGCTCCTCGCTCCACACATTCAGGTATGAGCATAAAACTGGAGTGACCACAAGTCAGGAAACAAGGGTTGGGCAGCGGAGAGAGAAAGAGAAGGGTACAAGTGATTTGAAGTGGGAAAAGGGAAAAGGGAAAGAGGGAAGAGGGGGTGAGAGCAGGGAGGGAAGCGCAGCTCCTGCCGTCGTCAAGGGGCCCGCTCTCTGCAGCAGACGGAGATCATTACAGAACACACAGCCTGCCAGTGTGTGGAGGAAAAGCAGCCCTGGGGTGCCCAGCAACAAGGGATACAACTACCACTCCTGCATCTCAAGCTCAGGGAACATCACAGAAGTCTAAGAGCCACAGGAGCGAGTGTGACTTATGGAAAAGGCAGGGGAGCTTCCCGCGTGAAGTGGGCAGTCCTCGGCACAGTCCTGTAGCCAGGGCTCCGTGAGTGACTGCACTAAGCAGGGTCTCTAGGAAGGAAAAGCACATCATCTCAATCATCCCATTACAGAGGTGACCACTCCTCCCATCTCTGTAGCGTGGCTTAGCATGAATTAGCCTTTCTGAGACAGGGCTGCTCACACTGCTAGCACTAGTTGGATAAGGTTTTGGTTTTTTTTGTTGTTGTTGTTTTGTTTTGTTTTGTTTTAGCTTGAAATCCTGGAATTTTTTTGTGTCTTGGTCTCTACCCAGAGCCAGAGCCAGAACTTATATTCCATTTTATTAGCCAGGAGGAAGTAGCATTGCCTTAATGAGCCTCAACAAAATTAGGTAACATTTTCCCCCTCATGACATTCAGGAGCTGGCTGAAACTGGGGAGCAGAGGCCATCAAAGTCCAGAGCTCCTGTTCTAAAGCGGATCACCACCAGGGTGGAGTGTGTGGGCTGGAGCTTCAGTCACACCCTCCCACACTGCCCCCAAGCAGGGCTCTTCAGTGGGAGACAAAAAACAAGAACTACCTGCAACCGCTGTTGGGAAAAGTGACATCAGGAAATTTGCAGGCAAATGGATGGAACTAGAAAAAAAATCATCCCAAGCAAGGCAAACCAGACCCAGAAAGACAAGCATGATATGCACTCACTTATAAGTGGATATTAACTGTATAATAATAATGTATACTAACTGTATAATAGGATAATCACACTATAATCCACAGACCCAGAGAGGCTAAGAAACAAGGAAGGCTCTGGGGGTGATGCCGGGATCTCCCCTTGGAGCGGGAAATAGAATAGATTTTGCAGGTGGACTAGGGGTAGATGGAGATGGGAATAAGAGGGCTCAGGCTAAGGAGGGAGGAATGAGGGAGAGACTGAACAGAGAAGCATTTAGGGGGTACTGTGGAACCCTACTGCAGTGGAAACGCCCTGGAACCTATGGGGGTGAGCCTAGAGGACTCCAAGCAATGGAGGAGGAAAGCCCGAATTGGCCATCTTCAATAACCTGGCAAGGATCTCAGCAGTGGGACCACTAACCCAGCAGTAAAACCTTCAATCCACCCCTGTCCTGCCTGCAAGATGTTCTGAAGCAATGGTGGCTCAGAGCTTGTGAGAGTGGTCAATCAAGGACTGGGCTAACTGAGGTCCATACTACAAGACGAAGCCCATGCCCAAAACTGTCTGGATGGTCAGGAACTAGAAGCTGGATGGCTCAAAGACCTAGGTCAGAACCAAACACTTATGACAGGAAGAAAAAAAAATCACATGCAGCAAGTGAGAGTAATGGGAAAAGACTTGTTAACCAATAGTCTTTAAGAGGTGGAACATAGTTTAGGCGTGACTTTCTAGGACCGGGAGATACAAACCTGTGCATCACCCAGGTACGCTCTCTGTAATTTCCCCCGTTGTCAAGCAGAGCCTGGATCTTCCGTGCCTGTGGTGTGAGTTTTTCCCCTTAGAGTAAATAAAATATATTTGTCTATCTTTAAGCTAGCCTGGTTATTTCCATATCTAGGCAACCGAGACATTGAGAGAGCTGCAACATTCAGGAAAGCGAGCCCTGCACCTTGCCTGGGCAGCACTGTTAGGAAGGAAATGAGGGTAAGCCTGCCCAAGAATATAAGTATGAGAAGTCTGGACCCACCCCTCACCTGCCAAAGGTGGTGTGGGTGAGGGAGGGAAGCCACCCCACACCCCCACCCCTGACCCCGGCTGCCTGTGGCAGGTGGGAGAGCTAGTCCTGAGGTCACAAGACCAAGAGAGCTGGCTATGCCTCTCACCAACTGCAGCACTCGGGGAAGAGGCCCCTGCACCTCACCTGGGTAACACAGTAGGGCTGGTCCTCATGATGCAGGTGCGAGTGAGCCAGCTAGAGGGTGTGAGAGCGGGAGAACCGGCCTTGCCCCTTGCTGCAAAGGGTGAGCTAAGCCATGGTGCTACAAGACTCACTCTGGTGTTGAGGATGAGGGAGAGCTGGTGGGCTGACCCACCCAGCAACCACCCAGACCCAAAGTCAGGACTATGAGTTAGCCCACCCCACCCTCCACCCCATCTATGATCTGCTGGGGCACGTGAAGGGGCTGGTCCTGCAGACCCAAAGCTGCAGGATCTCTATGACACAGGACAACAACAGGATATCCGAGAGGACCCCCAGTATTAACAATGTATCAGAAGCCAGAGGCCTCGAACCAGACCAGCGACTTTGCAAAGAACACTTGCGAGTAAAGTTGCACACACTAAAGGGCTTATTGTGTGACTCGCTGAGTCCCTGCAGCTTCCACGCTACAGCTTCACTTTGCTGTTCAATTTTATTTTGTTTTATCTTGGGGAATGGGGTTGGGGGTTTATAAGTGTAAAGGGCAGTTGCAAAGGGACAGGGAGATGAATGGGATCAAGATGCATGATGGGAAATTCACAAAGACTATATATATTGCATTTAAAAGGTCAGTGAAATGATTTCTAATGATACTCTGCTAAACTCATAGATGGGTACCTAGCCCAGTCTCCATCAGAGAGGCTTCCTCTAGCAGCTGTTTGGAGCAGATGCAGAGAGAGACCCATACCCAAACATTAAGCAGAACTCGGGGAACTCCAGAGAAGCAGGGGGTGGAGGGATGATGACTGTAGGAGCCAGAGGGGCCAAGGATACCAGGAGAACACAGAGCACAGAAACAACTAAGCAGGGCTCACAGAGGTTCAGAGACTGAAGCAGCAATCAGGGGGGCTGCACGGGTCTACACTAGGTCTTCTACAAACATGCTATAGTTGTGTAGCTTGGGGTTTTGTGGGACTCCTAACAGTGGGAGTGAGGGTATCTTTGGTTCTTTTATCTACTCTGGGGACCCTTCTTCTCCTTCTGGACTGCCTCATCCAGTCTTAGTAAGAGGGTTTGTGCCTAGTGTTACTGTGTTTGGTTGTTATCACTGGGGAAGCCTCTTTTCTGAAGGGAAACAAAGGAGGAGCGGATCTGGGAGAGGGGGAGATATGTGTGGGGGAACTGGGAGGGCTGAAGGGAGGGGAAGCTTCGGTTGGGATATATTATATGAGAAGAATAAAAACGAACAAACCAACAAACCAGAACTCCCTCTGGCTTTCCCAGCAGAGAACAGAGGACGTTCAGGATCCAGGCGGTACGCTGCACGTCCAGTTTCTATTTCCTGTCCCCATCATAACCTTACTTTTATGCTCTGGTTTGCTACATTGTTTTTCTTTTGTCACTGTTAATACTTACTCAATGACTACAATGTCACACCATCTCCCCTTTCAATCTATTTCACCACATGATTCCTCTTTAAAACTTTGTTTTGTATCTTGCCAAATCTTACAGAATTATCAGTTTGTCTTGTGGTTCCTCTTTGTGACTATGCCTCTCATCAGCATGGAGATAGTTACAGAACATAGACTCTGTTCCCCCAAAATATTTGGAACCACATCTCTCAGAAAGGGGTTGTGGCTAAAGAGAGACAGAAAGAGACATCTTATTGATCTAAATTAATATATGAAAAAATCCAGTTGCAGAAAAGGACTGGAAACTCTTGCCATCTAGGCTACATACAACAGACAGCACGTGTTCACGAAAAGCCTGCAATACACGAACATGGAAGAGGCAGGTGCGGCATAAATGGCCGTGTGCCTCACAGTCTAGCACTTGGAGTTCATGTTTTTCCTCGGCTTACTGTCTACCCCCATCCTTGGAAGTGCTGTCTTTCTTAGGAAGCTGCATTTCTATTTCTAAACATGTGTTTCTAGTTCAATTTTTTTTGTCCTGGGTCACAAGAGCCTAAAAATTTGGGCGAGAGCTCTGAAACTCAGACTGGAGCTTCCAACATCATGCATTATTTTGTATACATCTAACCAGAGGCATGCTAAGTCAACGGTACACAAGGAAGTACAAATGCAACACAGAAAGCCCGACATCACATCAGAACAGAAGAACAGAAGGGGAGAGCCAAACACTGCAAGTGCTGCTTGAACTGACCCTGAACTTTACTTTTCCCCATTACTCCAGGAAGCTGGACCCAGTTATCTGACTGCAAACATTTAACTTACATGGCAAGGAATAAGTGGATCGGAACAGAATAAGAAAGCTAATTAAAAAAAAAACTAGCAGCATACATATGACTACTATCCCCCAAACTCCTTAACTCCTTGCTTTTATGACCTCTGCTATATCCTGGTAGATGGGACTAACAAACATATTTTCAGTTTACTTAGTTCTTCAGAGACGATTACCCCTATAACAACACAAATACTTCTAATAGGTAATTCTAAAGACGTCTCAGGGCAAAGTGAAGGGCATGACTTAGCCAACTTGTGCCAGATTAGAATGCAGTAGGCCCTGACTAAACCAACTAACATCAGAAACAAACAAACAAGTCTTCTCAGACTGTCTCCCTCAAGCGTCAAGTGTTCTAACCATATGAAACGTATATATATATAGGAGTGGAGCTATAATGGGATGAGTGATGGTCACTCACCCTCAAAGAGTAAGGCAATTTCAACATTTCTCAGTGCTGAGTGAGTAAAACAGAAAGAATTGGATACTGAAGCTGAGATAACAACTATTATCTACAACATTCTTTTTCTAATACTGCTTTAATCAAAGCAAATACTCTATATGTAAAATTACAAAAATATGTACACATAGAAAATGGTGCTTTTTTTTTTTTTGCTCTGCTTCCTGTGTGTGGATCAAAATTTAATCAGCCAGTTTCTTGCCCAATTCAGCATGCCTTCTTGTCTGTTGCCATGCCTTGCCCTTCTCCTCTCTTCCAAAGAGGGCCGCATACAGGAAAAGAACCAGCCCAAGAGATGTGTGCTACAGACAGCAAGGCTAGAGGGCAGAACCACCTGTGCCCACTGGAGTTGAAAGTTCAGCTACGGGACATGGGCCTCCAGATCTGCTCATCACCGGACTCTATTTCCATCCGTTTTGGTCAGGTCTTCCCTCCCTACATCTCATTCTTCCCTTCTGGAATAGGAACGTATATTCTGTGTCCCTACATACTGGAAGAATGTAAACTTTTTAAAAAATTTTTTACAGACGGTTACGGTTAACAGATTGCCTTGAGTCTCAAAGAGACTTTGGACTTTTGAACAGTGTCCAGACTATTAAAGAGACTATGGGGACTTGTGAAGACTAAATGAATTTTGCATCATGAAATGGCCATGAGCCTAGGGGAGTCTGGGGTAGAATGCTGTGCCTTGAATAAGAAATCCACCCGCTACAAAACCAAATAGCCCAATGAAAAACGGGTTACAGATTGAAACAATGAATTCTCATTAGAGTAAATTCAAATAGCTAAGAAAAGCTTAAAATTTTCAACAGCCTTAGTCATCAGAGAAATACAAATCAAAACTACTTTGAGATTCCATCTTACACACGTCAGAATGACTAAAATCAACAAGAGTTAGTTTATGCTGGCAAAGATGTGGAGCAAGGGGAACAGTCCTCCATTGCTGATGGGAGTGCAAACTTATACAGCCATTGTGGATGGTGGTTCCTCAGGAAGATGAACTGAATCGATCTACCTAAAGATTCAGATATACCACTCTTGGGTATATACCCAAAAGATGCTTCATCCTACCACAAAAACACTTGCTCAACCATGTTCATTGCTGCTCTATTCATAATAGCCAGAAATTAGAAATGACCTAAATATCCCTCAACAGAGATAAATAAAATATAGTACATTTACACACAGGAGTATTGCTCAGCTTGTAAAAAAAAAATGACAGTAAAATTTGCAGGCAAATTGAAGAAACTAAAAAAAAAAATCATTTTGAATGAGGTAACCTAGACCCAGAAAAACAAACATGGTGTATATTCACTAATATCTGGATATCAGTCATAGACAATCAAGTTGTAATCTGTAGACCCAGTATGATGGTTTTAATAAGAATGGCCCCCATAGGCTCATATATTGAATGCTTGGTCATTAGGATCACTAGGAGGTGTGACCTGGTTGGAGGAAGTGTGTCACTGGGGGTGGGCTTTGAGGTTTCAAATGTTCAAGCCAGGTTCAGTGTCTCCCTCTCTCTTCCTGCTGCCTCTGGATGCAGTTGCAGAACTCTCAGTTACCTTTCTAGTACCACACCTGCCTGGATGCTGCCATGCTTCCCGCCATTCTGATTATAGACTAAACCTCTAAACTGTAAGCATGCCCCAATTAAATGTCTTTCTTTATAAGAGCTGCCATGGTCATGGTGTTTTGTCACTGCAATAAAAACACTATGATGCCCAGAGAGGCTGGGCACAGAGAAAGGAACTAAGGGAAATACACATATTTCCCTGGGAGAGGGAAATAGAATAGATACAGGTAGATGGGGGGTGGGTGGGACAAGAATGGGGGAATCAAGTGGGAAGGGAAAGGGGAGATAGGATTGAATGGAGGGAATGAGTGGGGGAACAGCTAGCATTGAAGGGCACCTAAGGGGCAGTTTGGAAACCTAATGCAGTGGAAACATCCTATAATATATGAAGGTGATC